ACACACACACACACACACACACACACACACACATACCAATGCTCACACATTTCGCCGGTTTCTTCTAGAAAGTAGATTCTTTCCGGTCCGTTACTTATATCGTATAGGAGTCATTCTTCAATGTCAAGCATACCGATCTTTCCTGGGTAGGATCATTATGATTTATGGTGCTATTTCCTCCAACCCTTGTTCCATTGAACCGATGGAAGGATGCTATCATGGATAAGCGTTAATTTCTTCCCTATTTGATTATGGTAATGACATTGATTTGCATTTTGGTAGCTGTGGGTGGTTGGCTTTGGGTCTGGTGTGGTTTGCTCGTTCTTTCCTATCGAACATCTATCGTCCGTTTATATCTCCTTCTTCATTTGTGTTTGTCACTCTCTTGTAACACCTCTAATCTTCGACACTTATTTTTATTATTATTACCTAATTGTCTTGTTGCAAGTCACGCAAAACTCTTCTTACAAAACCATTTTGACAGCTTTTTTCTCACCATTTGGGCACAGAGGAGCACTTTCTTTTAATTTTTGAATCACACCGTTTTGTGCCGTGATTTCTCAAGCGTTTTTTTGTTTGTTTGTATTGGAGTATTATTTCGGCGCTACGCACTGCAAGAGCTCAGACGTCACTGCTAAGGGACAGGATAAAATAGTAGTTCCTGTTCATAGCAATCGCTAAAATAAAAACGCGTCGTCTTGTTGCTGCTGCCGTCGCTACTGCCAGCCCCACTGGAAGTGCAAACACAGCCATCCTGAACTACGAACAATTGTATCTGTCTTCACCATGAGGTCATGGCCAATGGAAACAAAGCGCCCGCACAGCAACATGCGAGAGTGCTTGATAGTGATACTTGGGTACTGTTCATATGGGGATTAACCCTTTAAACAACGCAGCCCAGAGCTCGGCAACGAAATAATGGTCGGCACTTGTTATAACTCCACCCCTGCCTTTGTATCTCCGGCTTCTCCCGTTCCGTCATCATGCAGGTCAAAGTACGAGCGGTGTTCAGAGGTAAGACGAACTATATAACAGCAAATAAATGAAGCGGCACAGACAGATGGGAAAAACAACACAGCACGAAAGCGGCTTATCTCTGTCTCTGCCACTGGCACCGTTACTCCCGGTGGTCAATACACAAGTACACGTACGTGTATTTTGTGGTGGCCGGGTTGCTGTATAGCGTTATTGCACGTTTGCTGGCCCGTGAAAGTCACGTGGTATGGAACTGTGTCCCCTCCACCTGTATTGACGCCTTGTGTTTAGCGGAGTGTCCTCCCGGTGGGCCTACACCTTGCATCGAAGAAGCACATTGTGCTAGGGAAGTCACCAAACTAATTTTTTGAAAACGCAATTCGTAGCAAGATGGCAGTGTATCGATTAGCGGCACTTTTCTTTCAACCGACTTCAATATATCCTCCCCCCCCGAAAAAGGTGACTTAAGCGAGAGATCACTTCTAATGCAAGCACCTAATTTGACCAGTACATGACTGGCTATTGTTGTAGCGTGTTGGGTTAACAGCTCGATCTGTTTTCACGCGAAAGTTCGGGGACAAAGTCCGAACTGGTGGCCGAGAACGATTTTTCTCGTCCTGTCTCTGGAATATCTCCTCCCAGCCCCAGCCCTGCCTGTGACCTCAATTATTGTTAGCCAGTTCTGCGCCTTCAGATAGATGTTTCCAGTTGAACGTTAAAAAGTAAAGCGGCTGGTTGAAGAGTGTCTCTGTAGATTTATTGTCAGTTCATACAGATTTACGTACATTGTGTATTCGCTTGCGCTTACGTATGTTTGTGTGTGTGTGTGTGTGTGTGTGTGTGTGTGTGTGTGTTTGCGCGCGCGCCTGCATGCCTGTGTTTGTGTGAATAATACGTATACATGTACATGCCAAAAAATGAAACAGAACCATACTCATACTGTCCCCTCCTCTCAACCCCCACCTCCTCAACACACACTTGCGTACACACACACCACGTAACATATCACACACACACACACACACACACACACACACACACACACACACACACACACACACACACACACACACACACACTGTGGTGCTCTGGTGTGGTTTGCTTCTTCTTTCCTATCAAACATCTATCGTCCTTATCTCCCCTTCATCTTTTTTATGTTTGTTCTGCTCTCTTGTAACAGATCTAATCTTCTGGCGTTCATATGCAGTTGCGAGCGCCGAAAACCCCCTACTAAACTAAAAAACACACTCTCTCTCTCACACACACACACGCACACACACACACACACACACACACACACACACACACAC